AAGAGGAGCTGGGGATAGTCAGGCAAAGTTTCTCAAAATAGAAGCTATTTAAGTTTTTTCTTTTTTTATGACATACTTAAAAAAGAAAACGTATTTATTTGGTTGCATCAGTTCTTAGTTGCAGCGCATGGGATCTAGTTCCCCAAACAGGGAATTTGGCCCCCTGAATTTGGAGCTCAGAGTCTTAGCCACTGGACCACCAGGGAAGTCATGCTAGTTAAGTTTTTCTTGCAGGGTAAGGAGGCATCTTGGTGGAGAGAAAGAAGAGATTTGGGGGATCCAGGGATGAGTGCCGTGCACTTAATGGGCAATGGGAAATGCCATGGGTGGTGAGGCTGGGATTGGCTAGGGTCACAGTGTTGCACTCTGGGTGCTGGCCTGCTTAAAGAACCTAACTCAAGTGGTATAGTGACAAGGTGGGTCAGAGGCAAGGAGGTGACTTGGGACATTCCTGTAAAGCACAAGGGAGTGGCAGTTACACACGTGAATATATATGTGAAAGGCCCTGAGCTGTATACTTAGGGTTTGTGTATTTTACTATATGTAAATGATAGCTCAACAAAGTCCTTAAAAAAACAAAAGTCCAAGGGGTCCAGGGTCCCCTTGTCCTAGAGCAAAGGGAATAAGAATGGTTAGGAGTGGGCAGATACACAAGAAAACCCTTCTCTTTGGGTTCCTGTCCTTATCTGGTAGCTAGGGCTCCCAACCCAGGGTCCTTCTAAGAAACTCTTTCAAAGCTTGGTGACGATGCAGTGATCCTAGACTCAGAGGATGTTAGTGCTGAAAGGGTGCCACAGGAGAATGGCCTGTTTCATTTTATTCATTTATTTTTATTTAATTTATCTTTTTGGCCTAACAGAAATTATTTCTCATAATTTTAGATGATGAAAGACCAGGATCAAGGTGTCAGCCAATTTGATTCCTGGTGAGAGTACCTTTCCTGGCTTGTAGAAGGCCACCTTCTTGCTGTGTCTGTATATGGTACAGACAGAGCTCTGGTGCTCTTCCTCTCTTATAAGGGCACTAATCCTATCATAAGGGTCCCACCCACATGAACTTATCTAGACCATGTAATCTCCTAGAGACCCCATCTCCAAATATCATTATATAAGGAGTTAGGTCCTCAATATATGAATTTTGGGGGGACACAATTCAGTCCATAGCACAACTCTTTTTCCAAGCCACACTGGGACGCTTCATTCTGAGTTAGGATGGGAGAAGGGGTAGGAAACACAGCTAGAATGATGGGGTCAATAGGCCCTGTTTTTTCTCATGCATTACAATTAAAGAACTACCATCAGAAACATTCAGCCTTTTCTTCACAGCTTAAAACTAGAGATATATGTAAAGCAGACTCTAGAATGTTCATCTCTTCATATCCTCTGTGACTTCTAGTCATTGAGTTATTTACCCCAACAAAAAGCTGGGGCATTAGAAGTCTATGTAGTGTGTGCCACATGTATAAATAAAAAAAAAAACATTGATGCTTTCTTGGATAGTACTTTCTGGTCATAGCTTCATGATGAGAAGGAGCTTTGTAAGACTGCTTCATTTCACACACAAGGAAACCAAGGACCAGAGACAGGGCCTGTCACATGGTCCACGGGTCCACAGCTTGTTTAGACGAAGACCTCAGTTTGCATCCTAATGCACATTTCAGATCAAGGCTTTTTCTCTGCACACTGCTGCCAACAGCCATTAGGAAATTTGAGTAGTGGACAGAATTCTGAAGCCACTAAAACTCAAATGTTAGAAGATATGTAGCAGTGTGGATAAAAACTGTTTTGTTTTTTGCTTGTTTTTAAATTTTTTGGCCATACAATGCGGGCTATGGAATTGAAGTCCTCCTGCCAGGGATCGAACCCTTGGCTCCTGTGTTGGAAGGGTAGATTCTTAACCGCCGGATTGCCAAGTCCCCATGGTATGCTAAGTGTTAAAGCAGGTTACCAAATGCTACATATGTCCCTGATTTTGTTGGGGGAAATGATCTGCAGCAGCAAAAACCCTGCAGGCATGATGACCAACGTAGTAGTGATGTGTATCCCCAAGGAGGAGACTCACAGATGATTTTTGTGTTTCACCTTTTTCTCCATTTAAAAAAAAAAAAAAGAGCTGCATTAAATTTTTTATTCGAGAAAAAAATGGAGATCTGTATCACCATCTAAATTTTCTCATAATCCTGATTCGAGCTTTTTAGTCTGCCTCTTTCACTGAAATTGAACACTTTTTGAGAACAAAAATTGAATCACTAGGTAAATATTGACCTGTTGCTAAGTGAATAAGAGACGTATCACCTCACCTTAGAAAAGTTTCCTTCGAGACATTGAAAGATTCATTTCTGATGTATCTTTGGGTAGGTGATCTCAAGACAGACTTAAAAACTGACTTTAATGCTGAAAAGAGGGGGAAAAAAATCCCTGTTTTCCTAACATGTTTTCACTATTCACCTTTCACCGACTTTTTTTTCCTACACCAGAACATCAAAAGGCTATGTCTGTGATTCCTCACGTAAGTCATAATTAACTGGCTGCTTTCCGTCAGGGTTACTGAATGACCCCATCAGCTTGTTTTAAATCAGTTAAGTGAAATTTTTAGCCGAGACAGTTGTTTGTGAAGGCCGTGGATGGGCTTCCTGTAGGAAAAAAAATCTTCAAAGTCCCAGGAGAAGTACTTTTACCCATAACAGATAAGCTTCCTGAGCTTAGCTTCAAATACACGGAAGGCTGTTGCCAGAAAGGCCACACAGAGAAAAAAACATCAAGGCCACCAGCTTCCGACAGTGATTAAATAGTAAGAGGGTCATGCAGGAATCGGAAGGCCACTCCAGGGCTAGCCCAGCTAATGACTTTTGTCTCAGACTGGCCCCTTACTGCTCTCTGCCTCCCGTCCCTTGCCTGCACCCCGAGAAAGGTCACTGTTCCCCCTCCCTGTGGACAGGAAAGGAGCCAGCTCTGGGGTCACAGACTTGGGTCCAGGCTCCCCGTCTGCTACTCCTCGTCTCCCCATCCTTAAAATGAGAGGAAAACAAATCTAACCTTGAAGTTCCATAGGTTCATCAAGAAAGTGTGCCGGAAGAAGAAAAAGCAAAGAGCAACTGTTGGACTTATGTCTCCAGGCTGTTTTTCAAAGGAAACCAAGAAACCAGGTTAGGAAAAACCCTGCCAAAAATCAGGTTTTTTTTGGTTTTTTTTTTAACGCTTTGAACAATTAGTGTGAAACCAAACCTAGGAGACTCAAGAGACTTGGATTTGGTCCCTGGGTCGAGAAGATCCCCTGGAGTAGGAAATGGCTATCCACTCCAGTGTTCCTGCCTCATGGACAGAGGAGCCTGGCAGGCTACATACAGTCCACGGGGTTGCAAAAGCATCAGGCACGACTGAGTGACTGACTGACTGAAACCTTACGTGATGTTTTCCAAAGAGCCTAGAGAGAAGAAGCTTTCCCAGGGCTTCCTTTAATTACTCAGGAACTGATGATAGGTGGAAATTTGTACTCATTTGCCTATAATCTCGTAGGGCTTTTAACACCTTGGTTTTTCAAAAGCTCTCTACAAAGAGAGACCCAGGAACTGGATCGAGCTGCATCCCACCCCATCTGAAAGTAAGGGGTGCAAATGTTCCTTGCCAGTTCAGATGAGTGAATTATCTAAATTAAACATGGAAGAAAAAGCTGGATGATTTTGAAAACACACCAATGCTGTGCACACTCCTCAGAGAGGAGAGTTTCCACGGCAAACACTGCTTGCTAAGAACACCACGCCCTTGATCATAGTTGAGGAGCCCACTGTGACGTAGAATCCCCTCAGCAGGGGTGGGTCCAAGTTCACCGCGATGACATTTATATTGTACATGGCAGTTCACAGGTGTTAGGCAATATAACTGAGCTGCAAGTCTCTTTCAACTTGATAACAACTTTTTAGGGTCACGGTATTATCGTCACAACTACAGCAAACTGTACACAGACACCCAAAATACCCATAGCCCACAGCTCTTTACCCTTGGCTGTGGAAATGAACTAGACAACCAAAGAGGACAAAGCAAGAGCCCAGACTCTCAGGTGTCTCTGCTGCCCATCTGCTCTTCGAAGAGAGCCATTCAGGGACTCCCTGGTGGTCCAGTGGCTAAGACTCCGTGCTCCCAATACAGAGGGCACAGGTTCGATTCCTGGTCAGGGAACTAGATCCCACGTGCCACAATGAAGATCCTGCCAAATGCGTCTCCTGGAAACAGCATGTGTGGTGTGGAACACAGATTCCGTCTCTTTCACAACTACTGTTTTACTTCTATCAGAAGCTGTGCTCACCCCTGCCACCTCCAAAACACAGAGCTGGGGCTTCTTCAGGGAAATCTGGTTCACTTGGAATGGAAACCTTCTCTTAAGAGTGGATTCTCTTAGCTAATGTATATTTTTCAATAGGGCAGACCAAGGGTACCCACAAACCTATGCTTTTTCTTGCTCATTAATTATTTGGGGTCAGGAAGAGTTCCCTCTTAGAACTTGCCTCAGGTGGTAAAGAATCTGCCTGAAATGCAGGAGACCCGGGTTCAATCTCTGGGTGGGGAAGATCCCCTGGAGAAGGAAGGGGCAACACACTCCAGTATTCTTGCCTGGAAAATTCCACAGACAGAGGACCCTAGTGGGCTACAGTCCATGGGGTCACACAGAGTCGGATATGACTGAGTCCGCACACACACAGAATACCGTCCAAGTTTTCTGCATCTACCTGGAAATGACAACAATTTTCTGCAAAGTCCTTGACATGGATGATGACACCACACTGTGGAGGGAGGGATGACGTCAGGCAACAAAGATCTGAGTCCGTCCCCTACCCGCCAGGATTTAAGCGCCAGACTCCTACAGAGATGGTGGCTATTTTAACACCAGTGACACTATTTTACATAGATGCCTTGAGGACCCATGCTGAGAAGGTTCTTCTTTGAACAGTGTAAAGACAGACAGATCAGCAGGCCGGTGTGCAGGTGGGTTTGAGGTCTACTCACTCTTTGGTCAGGAGAGGACAGGACTTGAGCAGGAAGCGCGAGAGCCCGGAGTCCTGGAAGTAGAGGTCAGGTGGAGCTGTGGGGCTCTTCAGATTCAAACAGCGGACGATCACGTACAGCACGGCAGCCACCGCGGCCAGCTTCACCCCGTCAAACACGGCCGGGAGCTCGGAGGTCTCCATCATGGCATTCATCTTGATCTGGGGAGCAGGGGTACAGGTAGGTTTACAAGCATGTTTAGAAGCATGTAGAAGAGCCCACCACACAGAGACAAAACCAGTGGGGGACGGGGACGATCCAGAAGGGCCCACAGAACCCACCCTGACTGATGCCTATCGGTGCCCTTACAACTGCCTACAAACTGGCAGCAACCCAGGTCACAAAAATCCTGAGCATTGACAAACTAGGCTGGGTGTTGGCTTTCAAACTGTGGTGCTGAAGAAGACTCTTCAGGGTCCCATGGACTACAAGGAAATCAAAGCAGTCAGTCCTAAAGGAAGGCAACCCTGCATGTTCATTGGAAGGACTGATGCTGAAGATGAAGCTCCAATCCTTTGGACACCTGATGTGAACAGCTGACTCACTGGAAAAGACCCTGATGCTGGGAAAGATTGAGGGCAGGAAGAGAAGGGGGTGACAGAGGATGAAACGGTTGGATGGTGTCACAGACTCAATGGACATGAGTTTGAGCAAACTCTGGGAGATAGTGAAGGACAGGGAAGCCTGGGTGCTGCAGTCCATGGGGTCTCAAAGAGTCAGACATAACTTAGCAAATGAACATTTATTTCTAAGACGAGCAAACTGGAAAATGCTGAGAATAGTGTCCTGCTGAAAGCAGGAGAGGACTTCCCTGGTGGTCCAATGGTTAAGAATCCACCTTCCAACAGTCCATGGGGTCGCAACACGCAGTGCTGGTCGCAGTGCAGGTCCGACCCCCCTGGTCTAGGAGCTAAGATCCCACATGCAGTGTGGCAGGACCAAAAGTTTAAAAAAGAAATCAATAAAACCTGATGAGAGCAGGAGAAAGAAGTCCAGCTGGAAAGGTACAAGCGGGACCAGGAGACTAGCTTTGATTTCTGTAACCAGGCAGCCTTGACTCTCCTCAGGCTTCACCTGCACCTGGCGCACGGCTGCGCATCAGGTTTCGTGTTTACAGCCTCGGACAGACACGTGAGATGGGCCTGCTGCGGCCACCAGGTGTGGCTGTCGTGCCTGTGGGCCCCACCTTTGTTTTCAGAGCAGGAAGAGCCTGATTCAGCCACCTGCTCCCTTGGAGGCAGTCCTGGCGCTGGAGTCAAGTTCAGACTAAGCCCAGCTCCCAGAGGTCTTTACTCCTAGGAGTCGCAAGCGGTGTGAAATGGAACTCGGTCACTTTTCCCTCCCACTGAAGGCAACTGCCCACAGTCATTAGTCTCCAAAATTGGGCTAAAAGTGGACCACCATTCAACTGCTAGACCAAAATTAAAAACTGGAGTATGGAAAATATACATGCATATCTAGTTTTTCATCTTTTCAGGTAGCTTTATCTTGTACACAAAACACACACACACACTCACATACATCATTCCAAACTTTAAAAAAAATAAACATCAACAACAGTAACAAAAATCCAATCTTTTCCTCCCTGCACTGCAGGAAATCAGAACATCAGCTGTTACCTTCAAAATCAGGGAAACCACAAGCTAACAAAAAGAAGAAAATGGTAACTCCTGGCAGTGAAGGTCGCTATGGCAACAGCTTCCCCTGGAATGGTTTCAAGTAGCCTCTGCTGAAAACAGCATGATAACCCCAGTGGCCAGCGGTACAGAGAAAAGAGGCAGGACGAAACGATCTCTCAAAAATGTGTTTGGGGCAGAACCAAACGAACTCATCTGAGACCCACGGTCAGGCCAGAGAGGTCTTGGAAGCCCTTTGCTAAAATCGAGGCAATTGTGGCAAATACAGGACCCAGGGCAAAGGGCAGACCATCTCTGGCAGGGGTTCCAACTGAGTGAGGAAAGGTAATCAAAGATCCCACAAATACCCTATGATATCACTCATATGTGGGATCTAATTTTAAAAAAGAAACAGATAAACTTATTTACAAGACAGAAGCAGACTTACAGATAATGAAAACAAACTGACAGTAGAGGGGAAACGTGAGCGGGGGAGGGATAAATCAGAAACTTGGGATAAACACACACACACACACACACACACACACTACTATATATAAGACAACCAACAAGGACCCACTGTATAGCACAGGGAACACGACTCAACATTCTGGGACAACCTATATGAGAAAAGAATCTAAAAAAGAATGAATGTATGTATACGTATAATGGAATCACTTTGCTATACACTGGAAATGAACACAATGCTGTAAATCAACTATAGTCCAATTAAAAAAAAAAAAGGAAGCCAGTTCCTTAACTCACCATCAGGGCAAGAAAATGCTTTTTTGAAATTTATCTGGCATGGTTTAGAATCAAGGCTGGACCTCAGAATATACTTTTCAGCTGCATCAACCTTTGACCGTTTATGAGCTGACGGTTTCCTTAATACTTAACTTCTGGGGTCATGTCTCTCAAAGGCTGTTCCCCAAACCTTCAAAACAAGGATTCTTTTAACTTGGGGTCTGTAGGTCCCCTATGGGTTTCTGGGAACTTCCTGAAATTATGTGTGAAAGTGTGTGTGTTTGTACAGTTTTCTGGGAAGAGGGCTTGCAGATTTGATCAGATTCTCCAGGGGGCCTGTGACCTAAACAAGCATACAGCACCGCACTCAAAGATGCTCCAGTGGTCCCACCTGTGTCCTTGTCCCTCATATCTCCAAAACCCTGCCACCTGCCAGTCAAACCAGCTCGAAACAAATATCCAAGATGACACAGCTTGCTATTTACTGAAGTATAGTTGATTGAAATACTGTTGTCTTAATTTTCATAGAGACTTCTAAGTGTAGTGAGTGGAGGGCTGAAACCAAACCTAGTAGCATTCCAGCTTCTCTGGCATGATACTGGGGATATGAAGCTGAAATAGACATCATCCTTGCCCTCTTAACTGCAAGGAGAGGAGGCGGCGGTACAGGGCGACTTGACCAGTTTTCTGGCTGATCTAGAGTAGACACATTGAATAAGTCCCTCCACCCCCACTTTCACTCATCACTTACAAATGTCGGGAAGGTAGGGAGAACAAGCAAAAGTAAGAGTCTCACCAATATGTACCAACGTCACCGGTTCCTCTCTGCTGCGAATACAAATTGATCTTGAAGAAGAGTTGAACAGCTGGGCCAGTCAGGTCAGATCTCTTATTCGATTTAACCTAAAAGCTGAAAAGATTGGATAGTGATGTTTTAAGGTTGAGAAAGAAGCAGTTTAACTGAAATATAAGCATAGTCTAAGTTTTTCTGCATTTAAAGTCATTGGGAAAAAAAAAAAAGCAAAAACGATTTCTTTAATTAACATATGTGACGCACTCTTGGCCAGACCTGCTGGGGGAAATCTTGGTGAATCCACAGACTGGCGGGCTCTGTGGTTTCCAGAACGAGTTATCTGCTGCGTTCACAACTCTGGCTAATGTAAACTCACGCTGTTTTTGTCCTTATCTCATAACATCATTTTCAGAGATACCCGACGACGACAAGGATCATCTCTGTGTGACTGATGAAATAATTTAGCCAAGTTTAGGTCGAGATAGCAGGCAGCTGACTTGTTTCATCTCTTCCAAATATACGGAAACGACAGAAAAAATAGGAGCTGAGAGAAGTAAAAGGGCACAGATGGGCTCAAAAACACAGTTCCAGAAATGGAACAGAACTGAAAGTAATGAGTGGGGAGCCATAACACCCGCCAGATCTGGGCCATACTGCGGGCTGGAGGCTCGCTGTGCTGGGCCATAAAGGGCTGAAAGCGCTCACCGTGAGATGGGGAACCAGAGCTGGGCCCTCTGGGTTAAAGACCCACGGCTTCCAAAGCAGCAGAGGAAACAAAACAGAGAAAGGGAGAGGGAGAGAGACAGCACCATCTAGGTGCCAAGCTCCCCTTATGTTTCATGTAAAACATGTCCAAATGCTTTTAAGAGTACCTCTGAGGTAGGTACTATTATTATTCCATTTTATAGATGAGGAGAAGACTCTTGAGGGTCCCTTGGACAGCAAGATCAAACCAGTCAATCCTAAAGGAAACCAACCCTGAATATTCATTGAAAGAACTGATGCTGAAGCTGAAGCTCCAACACTTTGGCCACCTGATGGGAAGAGCTGACTCACTGGAAAAGACCCTGATGCTGGGAAAGACTGAAGCGGGGAGGAGAAGGGGACGACAGAGGACGAGATGGTTGGATGCCATCATCAGCTTTCAGTGGACATGAGTTCGAGTCAACTCTGGGAGATGGTGAAGGACAGGAAAGCCTGGCATGCTACAGTCCATGAGGTCGCAGAGTCGGACACGACTGAGTGACTGAACAGCAACAGATGGGGAAACTGAGGCATAGAAAACTTGAGTGACTTGCCCAAGGTCACACAGGTAGTAGGTAGAGAAACCAAGATACATGGCAGGCTCCAAAGAATGTGCTTTTAACCACCACACTGTGCTACTTGAAAAGAAGAAAAGTAAGAAAAAGAGAAAAAAGAAAGTGGATGGTACAGGACACAAATGAGACGCCAAGAGCTTGCTCAAAATCATGACGCTGTACCATAGTAGAGCTGGGATTCAAGCCCAGTTTTCTCTGATTCCGTCACACCGAAATGATTTAAAAAGAAAATGAAAGCCAGTTGGAGGGGAGATTCAATTAACCTTCAGAGTAGCCTTGCTCAAATTCAAATTTTTATTATTTTTTCCTATTCTTGACAAATTAGACACAGAGGACCAGGCTTTGTTGGGGGGGCAGGGGCAGGGTACTAAGGAGCATGTCTCCAGCCACATCACAAGCCACCTGACCTTTCCAGGGCTTGGCTGTCCACTAAAAAACAAGGGATGTGCCAGATCAGAGATCTTAAACTGGCAACCCATGGGATGGCATTGCATTTGGTTGGCATTTAAAAAAAAACCAAACTGAATTTATTAGCTGCTAAGTTATAAACACCAGGAGATTGCAGATAAAAATCTGAATCTCTTGTTTCTCTTGAGAAGAAAAAAAAATCCAAAGGTTTGGGAAACCGATCCAGCATCCTCACATGGCAGCAATGAACAGAGCTGAGCGTGGCTGACCCTCTAGACAGA